CACTGACCCGGATTAGGAAAGCTCCTGGACTGCGTGATAAAACCCCGAAGACCTAGGAAATCGCTTACCTTGAGACGTTTGGGCTCTCCGTTGGCTGACATAACAGCTTCTGCTGACTGCAAGAAACGTAGAGCGGTATCGAATTCATGCACAGCGAATAAAGTGACACCAATATTTCCCAGGCGTTGCAAAAGCATCACGTGCGCGAAATTCAAACCAGGGGATAATTGATTCAAAGTTGAATGTTGACACAATAAGCAGCGATATAGATTTTTAGTCTAGACGGTGCTACCTGGGTTTCCTCCAATACCGCCCAAAATGACTAATTTACTTACTCGGACATAAAAGACATGTCGCAGGGAGTTAGTGAGCAACCAGCAAAGTCAAGTTATTCTTCCACAAAGGAGAAATGAATTGCGAAAAAAATACGACATCTATTCAGCTCTGATGCAGAATCGCATGAACACTGGAAATGTCAGCGACGAATGGGGTCTACTAACCGACCCTGAAGTGAAACGAGGGATGGAAAGAGTTAGTTAGCTTGGGCGGTGTGCGTGGTAAGCAAATGCTCCGACACCACCTCCGCCTCGGAAAGAAAAATGGTCATGAAATCGATGATATAGCTCTCACCAGGATTTCTAACTTTTCGCATGAGCATTGACTATGAATCGTGAAGAGGGTGCAGTGACTCATAGCCGATCGCGCCTTTCCATGACTAATGAATGCCTCTTGACCCCATTTAAATTAATATTTTGAAGACATTCTGGAGAAATTTTCAGCATGAGGAGAGGTTCTGGTGAATAGAGAGCCAGCAGTGCGCGGGAGCAGTCAAATGGGGCCATACAACAAGACAGCGATAGAGATGCTATGAAGTAGTCACGCGTGTATACAGGGGGGGGGGGCAAAAAAGACACTTGGCCGAGTCACATATCAGTAAAGTTTACGCAGCCCAGATAGAAGACGTGGATACGAGTACCAGGGCGGAAGATACCCAAGATGTTCCTCGATAAGCAGGAGCAGGCTCTCGCCCATCACCTTCATGTACACCAAAATATGAAGTCATCTGGGAGCAACAGCCCAGGAGTCACCGCCGTGCTCGAAACTAGTTCACGCGCGCGGGCAACCTGGTCGGTCCGCCGGCGGCTGAGTCCTGACCTGCGCATTTGCCAACTTCTGATCGATATGACCCTGTCACAGTTTGCTTGGACCGTTCCTTCTTTTCCTCATCTTCCACTTGTCGAGAACATGTCCAAACATGTGAACATGTTCAACAATACAAACATGTTAAAACATGTAATCGCCGCGCGCGGTGACCCGCTTCCCAGAGCGGCGACCTAGATTTCGGAGGCGCGTGAGTCCTGACACACACCCAAGTCATCTCCAATCGCTGCCGAACTGGAGAAGGCCTGGGATTCATGTCACCTCCAAACAGCTGCGAAACTTCTTGTATGGAGTCACCCATGGACATACCTGGGGACCAGCACTCTTGATCTGGAAGACCTCCAACATCGAGCAGCTCCGACAACGTCGCTACGGTCCAGGATATCACCGCAGTCGCCAAGGCGCGGGTTGATGGTATGGACCGGAAGTTCCTGGAATGGGAAGACCGATTTTTCTTCGTGGAAATTTCGTACTGCTACAGGATTGGGTGCCACCACATGGAATCGAAGGGCGTTTGAAAACTCTCGCCTACTTGGAATGGAAGGGCGTTGAGTACCTGAAGAAGGTGGAATATCCAAGTGTGTCACCTGACCTAAACCCCTCGATTACCGGTTCGGGCGGAGCTCAACAGGGTGGTCTACAGTGGCGGAGAAATCAACGACCTCGCTGTACTCAGGTGGCGCCCGTCCAGAAGGCTGTAGCGGAGTATCGTGATGGTGTACAAAGTGTTGTTGAATTTGGTGGAAATGTCCAATCATATTCTAACAAATTGTAATTTATGTCGCCTTGAAAGTCGAGGGAAAATGTGTCTTTTTTGCTTCCCCCTGTACACGCTCCCTCCACTCCCTACACTCCCCCGCTCGACACGAAATTTTTTGGGGAAAAGCCTGAAAATTTTCGGGAACTTCCGGAAAAGTGGTAGGAAGTTGGGTAAATCTGAGAAACTTCCTTCGCGGCTTTTTCCAATTCACATGTGCAATTTATTCCCCTCCTGCTCCCACTCGACGGATAACTTTTGGTAAAAAACCGGAAAATGTGGGAAATTTCAGAAAAACTGGTAGGAAGCTGACTTGTAGGAAAGTGGTAGGTAGGTTGGGGAAGGGGGAGGTCGTACTGACACCAACATTTCACACATCCCGATGCTGTACCTTGTGGGTAATAGCGGGAAACTCCTGCAAGATATGACAGGCGTCGTGTAAGGTTCAAATGAAAGTTCCCAGCTTGGTTCGATAAAAAGGCTCACTTCGCCTATTCTTTGTAAATTTCACAAGATGTCTAGTAATCGAACGAGCGTACACCCCTTACCCCTCCGGCGGAGTAGGCGTGGCATCTGAACATGGCACAGAACAGGTTACTCAAGGGATATTTCAATTCGAGGCAACTGCCATCTTGTTCAGTGTTGGACAGAGACATAATCACAATTGCATCAAAATGAAAATATTTCGTCAGAAGCACAGCCACGGCCAGGTGAAGTACGCAGCCACGCCTACCACATGTCAAGGATTCCGTGTGTACAGATCGTTTTTGATGACTGTGTTTGAGGATGAATTTTCACCCTCGTAGTAGTGCCTTTGAGCAAACCGCCAGCGGTGACGTTTTTCTGTTCGCAAATATTTTATAGGTTTCTCCTCTTTCTCCGAAGCACAAGATTAATTTGCATTGAGTTGTTCTATGCTCACTATATCGTCATGCAGATCAATCAATTCGACCTTTTTCCCTGTGCATCCAATCAACCGACTGGAATCAAAGTCCAAATATTCAATGCCTCGATCGAGAGGAGCTGACACTACTATTAGGTTTTTCGGAAAGAAATGCGCGTTGAAGCGCTGAATTTGTACATTTATTTCTCTCCTACTATAGAAGATTTTTCAAAACAGTTTTGTCTATTAGAAAGAGATTTTTATTGTGCATCTTTTGATATATTTTTGTCTATGTCTACTTTGCTTTTTTGGGGAAAAAAAGTTGGGAAGAGCGGGTGCCGCACCAGCTGAGCGACGCAAACAAGGCAACACGAGTGGCAATGGCCGGAATTCTTCTTCGTCGCTCCAAGAACAGCGGTTTCTTCGACTCTATTGTTACATCAGATGAGACATGGATCTGCTACGACAACGCAACGCGAAAAAGACAGTGGTTAGACGCCGGTGACACTCCAAAACCGACTCCGAAACCGGATATACACGGCAAAAAGGTGATGCTCTGTGTTTGGTGGAACAGCAAAGGTTTGGTGTACTTTGAAGTACTGGATTCGGGTCAAACAGTTACGGCGGACATCTACAAAGATCAATTGAACCGCGTGGATCAAGCACTGCGTCGTCAAGGTGTCGAAACGACGTCGACAAAATTCCTCCACGACAACGCTCGTCCACATGTCGCGAAAATCACTTTGGAAAAAATTGAGGAATTGGGCTGGGAAGTCCTGCCTCATCCGCCATACAGCCCAGACCTGGCACCATCCGATTACCATCTGTTCCGGTCGATGCAGCACTCCCTGGCCGAGAGAAAGTTCACAAACCGCGAAGAAGTCCAACTCTGGGTGTCCAACTCTTTGAGTCGCAGCCGGCCGAGTTCTTCGAAAGAGGAATCCATTCTTTGCATAAACGTTGGCAACAAGTCATTGATAGTAATGGAGATTATCTTTTGAATTGATCTTGTTTAATTTCGTTTTTATAATAAAAAATTTTTAGACTCAACGCGCATTTCTTAATAGAAATGAGCTAGTTAAAGGCAGTTGGCACGATGATTTGGTGCTCGGCCTAAAATGCTAGTAGGGCGCTATATAGTGGGGAAATGGCGAAAGAACGGAGTGAAACGGTCAAAATCCTGCGAAGAAAGAGCCTCCGTTCTCAATGTGTCAGAAATCAATTTTGGACGAGTTTCCTGTAGGCATCTTGCCAATCCCGCCGCTACAGAGGGCACGGCCTGCATGTGTTTACCCATGTATACAAATATCTATATCATATCCATGCAGCATCACGGCCGCTTCATACCAATCCCTTCGCTTCATAATTTGCTTAGCAAATGAATCGATTAGAGCGTCAGGAACGGTCGTCCATTTGTGGGCGGGCAGGCGTGGGGCGTTTGGGTCGGTATGTTGTGGCTTGATAGGGCCCTTATAAGGGCACCTCCCTTGGAAAAGGCAGCGCCTGCTCAGGATCGCGGAATTCCGTCCTTATTAATCCTACTCGTCTTGGGGGATTTATCGTGCCAACTGCCTTTAAGGATCACGGCTCTCAAATTCACTGGAATATGCAGAAACTAGTTCACTGTAGGTGATATTTCATTTAGCTACTCTTGATCACTACAGCCCTTGTGATATTTCATTTTAGCTACTCTTGATCACTACAGCCCCTATCTTGTAGATGGGGAGGGGCTGGAGAGGGTGTGGCTGTGTTCGTCACTTGTTGTGGAGGCGGCCACGCTTTTCGTGCGTTACCATTTCGGAACATCTGTAAGCATGGCACTTCTCCGAAACAGAAATATCCCATGAAACGTTTTTCATATTCTGCGCTATGTTTCAGTGCAGTACAGTCGCTTCGCTGTATGTAGACAATGGGGCGCGCCAGAGTGACTGGGTTTGGCGCGCTGGCCAATTTTCTCTCTCCCAAACTAGGTTACGGGTAAGCGAGCATGTAACACATTCGTGGGGAGAAACTCTCCATCCTTCCGCCAATTTCAAAGGGAATTTTGAGCTCTGCATCCCAAGACGCCTACGTTGGTGTAGTGCATTGCAAAATGCCGGGTGGATCTGTCGGCCTTCCCTGGTCGGTTCCTAGCGAGGTACTTTTCCACTGCAATTTCTCAAAATAGGGATCAAAATGTTGGCAACACCCTCAAACAAGGTCTTAGCAGGACAGAATTCGGCGCCCCTGAGCAGGCGCTGCGTGGCGCCTTTTCAAAGAAGGTACCCTTATAGCGCCCTATCAAGCTGCAACATACCGAC